AGACATTCTGTTTAGATATTTCGGGAAAAAGGCTACCGACAAAATCTCTTCGGAACTATTTAAATAAAATAGTTTTATTCCGCAGTGAGTAAAACACTATTGTAAATTCGTTAAATATTTATTAATTAAGTGATTTTAGAGAGGAAGTCACAAGGAATGACGTTTGTAATTTCATTAACGAATAAATGTTCTGTAGGTGTTTTTTTTTATCAGGCGGTCTCTTGATAAGTTTAAAATTTGCGTGCGGTGCGGCAGTGCGGTGCACCTTCCTTGAGGTGCGCTGCGGTAGTGTGTGACGGTCAGCAAAACAATTAAAATAGATTGTAATAGTCTAAGAAAAACACGTACTCAAAATACGATAACATTCAGCATGCTAGAAATAGGCTGATGGCACTGTACTATGCCATATCTTCATGTTTTGCGGCAAACGACAACTTTATAAAATCAGTGTAGCAAATTTTAAAAATCGTCATATCGTTTACTTGGAAAATTTGAAGCACGAACTCGTCTTAGATTTCACTTAATATCTAAATCACATCATCTTTGCACATAACAATATACTTACTTCCTATTAAAGTATAAATTCTACAAATACATTAATACTCAACAATATTTAAAATAAAATAAGCCAAGAACGTTTATCGATAAAACCTACTAACATTAAAATCTTCTGGGCAGCACTAAGGCCGCCATGTTTTGTGGCCAGATGACGTCACAGTGGCACGAATTTTTTGTTGACGTTTCATTTCCATAGGTTTCCTACTTCAGTGCGTTGACTGCTTTCGACTAGACTTTAACTAAAGCAAAAATAAAAATGAGAGTTGCGCATCTATCTCGAATATATTAAGTGTATAATCTATGGACTAGACGTCCGACTCTAGTCGAGACGAACCTATGGAACGATCAAGGGTAACCGTTTCGGATTCCCGGTTCTCGGAGCCCGTCTAGACGTTATCCCTTGTCTTTAGAAAACCCTGTTCGGTCAGAAGTAGCGTGGATCACAGAACGTGGTCGAAAGTCACTCGGGCGCTCTTTGACAGTATGAAGTGTTGAGGCATTTAAATGAGGCAAGTAAATTAAGTTTCACTTCTCATACGGTTTGCGATCTGAGTGACCGGTCACCGTCCTCGTCGAACCCCGTCGCTTGCGACGAAAGGCTCGACGAGCGAATTAACCCATAGACACAGCCCACTGAGTTTCTCGCCGGATATTCTCAGTGGGTCGCGTTTCCGATCCGGTGGTAGATTCTTCGAAGCACTGCTCTTGCTAGGGTCACTGTTAGCATCACTCCGGTTTGAGTCTCGTGAGCTCACCTACTAGTTAAGGTTACGCTGAAATAGCCTCTCAAGGCTATCAGCTTAGGTAGTGAAAAAAAACTTAGTGACGTCTGAACATCGGTCGGATCAAGAACTCATTTATTCCATGTTCATTTTGTTTAGGGCAATCCTAAACATGACACTTTTTAAAAATGTTTTTAGTGTGGCAGCACACCGGTAGGTATGGCAACACAATTAG